TTTCTCGGTTAACCGTGGGCTTTTTGCTTGGGCAAACTGCGCGGATAAGGCCTTTGGTTCGGTTTATTCGCCGCTGCCAAATTTATTCACGGCAAGGAACGATTTGACGGCAGGAGCGTAGGATGAACACAGCGGCGCGGTATATTCTGTTGATTCTCGGCGTTGTGGTACGTTTCTATGTTCTCCGCCTGTGACACGTCTATCATGTACGCCACAGATCACTATCCACTACACCCTCACGCTCCTCCACGAGCCATACGGGCGCGCCGCCAAGGATTTCTTCTCTTCCCCCGATGTCGACCCGACGAGCGTTCCGTTAGAATACTATGTTCCTCCTGGTATGCACGATCCAGTACTCTATCATCATCTTACCCCCACCGTAGACTCGGAATCCCTTATTCCAGGCGAAGACTCGGAATCCATTATTCCGGGGAACACCACCGCACGCGCCAACGCTGCGTTCGTAATCTTGGCCCGTAACAGCGATATCGACAACACGGTGCGCAGCATACGGGAGATGGAGGAGCGCTTTAATCGCCGTTTTGGGTACCCTTACGTGCTGCTAAACGAGGTCGAATTTACGGAGGAATTCAAAGAGTGCGTTCTTTTATCCTACTTTTCGTTTGTGGACTGATAAGCTGTAGACGCGTATCCGTGTTGACATCGGCAAAGATGGAATTTGGGTTATACCGCCGGAGCATTGGTACCAGCCTCACTGGATAGACGAAGACCGGGCGGCTAAGGCGCGGGCAGACATGGTCAAGGATGGGATCATATATGCCGGTGAGTGACGCTGGCCTTAATAACTTTCCCCGCTCACAGTGCCGCCTCAGGCAGCGTCGCGTATCGCAACATGTGCCGGTTCAACTCTGGTTTCTTCTTCAAGCACCCTTTACTCCTACCGTACCGCTGGTACTGGCGAATTGAACCTGATGTGCATTTTCACTGCGACATGCAGTACGATCCGTTTGTCTTTATGGAGCAGAATAAGAAGGTTTATGGTGAGGCATGTAACATTCTGATTACCGCCATGCTAATTAAATGAGGTAGGATTCACGATAACCATGTACGAATTTGAAAAGACTATCCCGACGCTATGGGGGCACGTCAAGGAGTTTATGCGGCTGCATCCCGAACACGTCGCGAAAGATAATGCCATGGATTTCCAGAGCGGGGATGGCGGCGAGACGTATAATTTGTGCCATTTCTGGTCAAACTTTGAAATCGCGGATATGGAGTTTTGGCGGGGGGCCGCGTACCAGGATTTCTTTGCGTATCTCGAAAAGCAAGGTATGCTGGTCGTGTTGTCGTTTACTCTCGCTCATCTCACCAGGCGGGTTCTATTATGAACGTTGGGGTGACGCGCCTGTGCATTCGATCGCGGCGAACATCTTTGCGAGCAAGGAACAGGTGCATTTCTTTGATGATATAGGTGCGCGTTTTGCCGCTCCTTCTTCGAGGTAACTGACACTCGCGCAGGTTACGAGCACAACCCCTACACCCACTGCCCGCGGGACGAGGCTGTGTGGCGGGCAGGAAGGTGTAGCTGCGATCGGGCACGCAGCTTTGATTATGATGGATATTCGTGTCTGAGCAAGTGGGATCGACTGGTCGGCGAGCGGGGGAGGTAGGCGGGACTTTTTGTGATCTAAGCAGTGGAATCTATGCTAGCTCATCCCATTGTTTTCAAAAGTTGATTCATTGTATTAATACTTATATACACTTAGATGCATGCATGTTGTAGGCTGACAACCTGTAGGATGACTAGCTAGGTGTTCCAACTGGAGGAAACCTTTTTGGTAACGGTTGTTGCTTGATTCTACAGCATCTGTTCAGGACAGAATTACATAGAAGTTGCAGAGATGTTCTCTCCAGGGCCGAATTTTGGCAGCTTGAGGCCTGGGGCATACAGGAATAACAATAATGAACTGTGAGGACAACCTGGAAATATGCTTCACACTAAGTAGAACAAAATTGGGACTCCAACAAAAAGTGTATGTGCAAGTGATGCCTACGCCACAGCTTGGAGCCCGCTGTATACCCTCCATTTGAAAGAACTTTACCCGATTTCCGTTGGCGCAGCAGTGATCGGGCAGTTCGCCGTTGGTGTGCCTCTGTGTAATCATGTTTACGCTGGTGCGATCTGACATACGTCACGGGCCATTTCATTTCCCGTGTCTCCCAGCTTGCCTCTTTCTTAGTCACTTGTTTGGCGGAGGCGGATATCACAACTTCTCATTCTCTTTCTCTCCTGCCACGATACGACTGTCCTATTTGAGCGCTACGGAGCATCTTACGCGACGTAAGACGGATACCCGATAGATTCTGCACGAGCAACACGTAGCACCCATGTCCACATCTACTTCCCGGGCGAAGCCCACATCTGCACAGCTCCTGATAAGCGCCACGCGCGGCTTCGACCAGCTCTTCGCCAACGACATTCCCGGTGCACGCCGTACATTCGAGCGTCCCGTGGTTGATGTATCGCCGGGGACTGATGCATCTGGTACGTCTACGGCCCGCTTACTTGTGCCCACTCCTCATACACCGAAGTAGAGGTGGCGGATTCACCATTCCACCAGCTCGGATTGGGCGTGGCAGTGTTCTTGGAAGCCGCGCTTGGACTGGAACGTGAACGGATGGAGGATGCGGCGCGAGTGTTGAACGACGCCGTGACGTCTACTGCGGCCGCGAAGAAAGCGGCGATGGGCGGCGGCGGTTCTTGGCTTGGCGGCGGTTCCGCAAAAGGCTAGTTTTTTACCCATGGTATAGCTGTTTCGTCTTGCTCACTTTCGATATAGGCGCTGACGTGGGTCTGGAATACGAAATCCTCAATGCAGACGCGGTGGTTCTCGCAGGACTCGTGAACGCGTTGAGCGAGAGCTATATGGGATATTTACAGTGCATATATGCGTTGAATAGGTATGCGCATATTCCTTAGTTCGCGTCAAAAGCTAAATTGCAACCAGCGCCCACTCCAAATTCACGAAATTGTATAAAGAGGTGTTCCCAGAGGGACTAGAAGGGTACCGCACCCCGTCAGTGTCTAGAAAGGGCTCGGGGGAGTCGCTGGCTACTTCGTTCGCGACGTCCACTTCCTCGACCGCGTCGTCGACTGGGACCGAGACTGGGTCTAAGAGTAAGGAGAAGAAGAGCACAAGCATGTTTAGCAAGTGGACGGGAGGTTCGTCGTTGGCTGTCCCGGTGTCCAAGTCGAGGCCTACCAGCATAATATCGACTAAAGGTGAAGGAGGCGAGGCGGTAGATGAGATGATCCTCGCTGGGACGGCATTTGGATTTGGACTGTTCAATTTAGTGTTTTCGCTCCTGCCCAAGAGGGTTCAGTAGGTTTCTGTGGTCTATCCGTGTTTATTTGCTAACGCGTAAACAGATCTGTCGTAGGCTTTTTCGGGTTCAAACATGACCGTGCGTTGGCGCTTAGAGCACTGGCAGTGTCAGCTGCAAAAAACGACGTGGTATGTGGCTCGCTGCGTTCAAAATTCTACGCCCATCTCACACGCGTCCAGCACTCCGTATTTGCGGGACTGGTGCTCATGACTTATCATGGGGTCGTATTACTCCTCAGCGGGTGGCAATGCGACGAGGCTCATATCGTCCGGCAGTATAGGTGTGTACAGTCTTCCATCTGGACGGCTCCTTTCTGTCATTACTCTCTGTATCTGCTGACATTTTTCGTAGGGCTATCGTGGACAAGGTGGAGGGGCGGTATCCGACAGGAACGTTATGGGTGCTCAACAGGGCAAAGATATTGAGAATGGAGGGGCAGTCGGGACAGGCGGTAGGAGTGTTAGTTGGAGGATTGGGTGGTGTTGATGGCGGTGTGGGCAAGGTACTGGCGCCACCACTGGGAGCAGACGCGCCGAAGAGAAGCCAAACGTCGATGCGAAGGCAGACTCTGAAGGTGCCGAGACGGAGGAGAAGACCCCGCTCCAACCTGTAACGCGTTGGCGTCAGGCGGATACGCTGCTAGTCTTTGAGCTGGCGTGGACATTGCTGGGTGACCGGCGGTATGAGGAGGCGGCGGGGTGGTTCGTGCGGATGACGGAGTTGAATGGCTGGAGTCACGCGACATATTATTTCATTGCATGTGGGTGTTGGAGTGCGCTGGCAAATTCCCGCGATGCCTGCGAGGAGGAGCAGCGAACGGAATATAGGACAAAGGCTAGAGGGCTTTGGGACGCACTTCCGGACCTGCTAGAGCGGAATGGGCGCAAGGTGGGCGGGAAAGAATTGCCTGTAGAGGTGCTCATTCGGAAAAAGCGTAAGCTTTCGTTCTGTTATCATATTCCCTACTCACCGCTTGCAGTAACCTTCTACGCTGCTAAATCGGCGCGATTGAACGCGGACGTGATTTCATGTATGGCAATCTCGCCTGCAGAGGAGATGGCCGTGTTTTGGAATACACATTCGCGGATAAGTCGAGAGGTCGCGGAAGGACATGTGAGGGAATGGGCGGGTTTAGAGCCACAAGTGTCAGTGGCCGGGTTTGATGCCGCGACTTCAGCTGGGCCGATTCTGGATACAGCGGAGGAGCGCGCGATTCGGGCGCTGCTCTTGGGCATTGTACTGCGCACGCTAGGCGCGTACGGTGCGTCGCGGCTCTTCTTCAAGGAAGCACAGCGGGAGGGTGGCGAGGTGAAGGACGGGTGGGTTCCGGGCGTTGCCATTTTTGAGGAGGCGGTGGGTATATTGAAGGAGAAGGACGCGAGTGGGGGTGAAGCCGAGGGATGGGCGGCGACGCTGAAGGAGGTTGGTGTGTTATTAGATGCGGCGATGGCTGCGAGTCCCGGGTCGGTGGATTTGAGCTCGAGGTTGGATTCGAGGGTGGCGATGTTGAGGGACGAGGTGAGGGCGAAGGCGGTGGCGGAGGGAGTGAAGTTGTGGTACTAGTAGCGGTAATACATAGATTAGAGACAAGGGCAACGTCGTAATGTTGGGCGACAAAGTGGCTATGAAGTTATGCGTTAAGATTGAGCACAGCATTAATGGGGTAGTGGTAACCTGGGTCGTTGCCATTCCAGTTGAATAGGAAATTGAGTTCTCGACCCGCCGGGGGTTCGATTCCCCCTTAATGCATGAATGCTACCTCTTGAGTTTTTGGCGATTCGTAAGTTTGGAGTGAGGTTTTTCGATGTGGCACAGTTTCCCTAGGGTTGCGCAGTATATTCCCCGAGGCGGTTAGTAACCTCGGCGGAATATACCCCCATTTTGGGGTGTGTTATTAACGGTTAGTAACAGTTAATAACCGCACACGTGATGTAATGTGGCGTATTTTCCCTGTCCCAAGCAAAATTTTCTTCTCAGGCCTCAGAAACCTCTTGAATGGCTGCAAAATAATCTAATGTAAGTTCTACTGATCTTCTGATGTATGTATTGAGTCTAGTGGCTCATTACCAGCCATCTTGCCTGCAATCACCCTTCTCCCCGCCGATCCCGCCCCAATGCGCCCACCCCGCCCCACCTGTTCACATGACTGCATCATGTGATGGGTTAATAACTGCCCAAAAACTTACCTCTCGAAGGGGTGTTACTGTACCATTTCGATCCCTTCTGCGGGCCATGTGACCTGTGACCGCTCCGCCGAAATTTTGGTTTCTGCAGATAGGTCAGTGACCTGTGACCAATCAAAAATTCAGCACCATCCTCAAACAGCTGCCATACATAGCTGTGACCTCTATTATAACATACAGCAGCTCAGATGTACCTACTTTCAACGTGTGTTTGCTCCTAAGTACAATATCATGTCATCGTAATTACCCAAATGACTACAGCTCGGACTTACGGACCGAATATATCTCACCTCATAATTTCCAATTCTAATTGCAACAATTTTCATCTTACAACCATGGGAGATACAGATCCACCACAGATGTATAAGTACATACACGAATCACTGGCTATGCCTACTGAGGCAGCGAGTATCTTACTCCCCGCATCGACACTCTGCATCCTCGATTTCTGTGACTTTATCATCCCGGTCATTGCCCCCGGAAAGATACAAGCAGCGCGACAACTGCTCTCTTCAGCAGCGAAGGGCCTACGGTTACAGACCTAGAGCTTATTCGTCGTATCCCCGCACCCGATGCACAAATGCTCGCCGAAATGACTGCTATATGTCGCGCCCACACCACGGAGCCATCCCAGTTCCCACAATCAATCCCCATTACCCATATCCGTTCTACAACACCTCGTCGCGTCCCAATATGGGTTCTCGGGTACTGGCTGGAAGTTCATCAGCTGCGTGTACATCGAGAGGCTTGGGCTAGCGCTCTTACCAGTCTCCGAAAGCGCCAAAAGCGGAACAAGAAGGATGACTCTGAGCAGGCACTCATCCTCCAAGCACTCGACGTACTGGCTATACTCCCGTGGCATGGAAAGATGAAGGGCATGCCAAACCAGGATCCACTTCACACCCTTCATCGCTTTCTCATTCCCGACATGTGGCTTTCCGACATCCAGATAGACCAGATTCTAGAGCTTCTACGCGCCGATCTTCAAAGAGAGGGCAGCGACGATGTTATTGAAAGTCGGGATTTTCTTGGAAAGGTTGTCGAGGCATACGAGAGGCGAGAAACGGGCGAGTACGACGAGTCTCGATACTTCAAGCGGATCCATAGCCTCGGATGCGCCATGGCGAGTGGAGACGTGACTCGAGTAGGATGCATAATGCATCTTGATGTCGAGAAGCACTGGGTCGCCGTCGTTATTGACGGCGAGAAACACTCGATCCTATATGGTGACTCGTTTCGAAAGGAAATGCCTGAGCACGTCAAGCAGGCCCTTACGTGGTGGACTGAATATCATCATCGCATCAACTTCAATCATGGAGAAATGCCGGTAACGTACCAGGTGGATTCGTTCTCGTGTGGCCTGTTGAGCACGAACGCTCTAGCCGTCTTGATGTCGCCTTGGCGATACGACGTTATCGAGCAGTCCGACGTGAATGCTGCACGTCTCAAGCTCTTCTTACGCCTTACGGATATTCACTTTAATCAAGTTAGTTGTTTATCTTTATATCAAGAGAAAAACTCACCGTATTGCAAAAGGATTTCATAGCAACTGCGACAGGATATCAGTTTACGTTCTCTACACCTACGAGAGATGCGCTGAAGGACGCAGCAAGCTCACCTATGCTATCGCCGTATACGTTATCGCCACATCATTCCCCACCTGCATCGCCCCTCGACAGCCCTACCAGCTACATGAGCCTTGATACAGGAAATTATAGCTCTGATTTCTTACCTGAATCTCCGACACCACGTCCGTTGCGCTCGACGAAGGTGATACCACCTTTGACACTATCAGAGGATGAATTCGAGTCGACAATTCCTGCCGGAACAGCCCACCTACCGTCATCGAGAACGACCTCTCCCATTAATCCCCCGAGCTCAACGTCCACTCTCAAACACGTACTCTCACCGATGAAGAAGCTCGCACCAATATTCAACACAGTTAAGCGCACGTTCTCTGAGCGCGAAACTGTATCACCTTCTTCAAGTCCGAAAAAGAAGAAGCAGAAGGCACCCATCAGGAAACGACCATGGGACTCTGTCCAACCCAAGACAGCTTCCCTCTGGCCAAGTTGTCCCTGAGCACCAGAGCATACCAGGGCTGATCAGAGCTGCTATGAGCCAACTCAAACTGACTATACTCACACAGCATCGTCCCGAGCTTACCTGAGTTGACTCTGGCTGGTCTGAGTTTCTCACCACTACAGCTAGTGGACTGAGTTAGATCAACTTAAACCCAGGTCACTTACGCTGACTCAGGAGCTAACTCCGCTAACTTAGCAATACATCATCGACACAACATTTCGCCGAGATGCCACCATGCATGACAATGCACGGCACCAATATCCCGGTCGAAAAGTGAGTCACATCAACTATTAGTCTATTGTCGGGAAAGGCGAGCAGCACAATGGTAGCGGCAACCGGCTCGCTAGCCACCCAGCGCCTGCGCGGTGCCGTCGTCAGAGACCAAGTACAAATATGTGATTCGCGTACCGCCATCTCGTCCATTACCTTGCCCGACTTTGACCACTCGCGCGATTTCAGATGCCTTGAGGCGTAGAGGTTGTAGAGCCACCACACATTGATGCTGAGTTCCTCGATTTGTTGACTCATTGTTGAGTTTGATCTGTCGCCGGTGTCAGCAGTGGTGCAGCGTAGGACACGCACTCGTTAATTTGCTTATTTGCCCGAGGGAAGTTTTTCTTGACTGTCAAGAGTCAAGAGTATCACCAACCATAAGTACACGTACCATTATTGAATTCGAACAAGGTGTCAGGTCTGTCTCGCACCCCCCGCGATTCCTTTCGGCTCATTGTCGTCGTTAGCGGTGTGTCGTTGTCAGAAGAGTGTTGTGCTATTGTGTCGTCCCGTTCAGATCAAATAGAGTAGATGACAGATCGGCGGCGACTCATGCGGTCTTGGCGGTAGGTGTACAGGTACTGGGATAGGGGACCGTATGAAGGCGGATGGGGAGGCAGAAAGGCTGGGATAGACTCTGTGACGACCATGCGGAAATAATTCTCGCAGTGCGCGGCAAGGACGATCGTAGACGGGGAAGAGGGTCACGTTGGATACGACCTTCGCGGCCCGGAATGGTGACCTTTATCGAGGTGGGAATGACCCGAGCGTTGGCGGAGTCGACGTGGGTCTGCGCCATGGAGAGGTCGCGGAACAGACGTGCGCCGCAGGTGGCAAAGCTGTCGCGCACAAACGCAGTACGGCGGCACATGGTGGGGAGAGCGCGTGCATACGATTTCGGAATCGAATTGAGGGAGTGGGCATGTAGCCAAGAACCGAACCAACAGTGATATGAGGCGCCGCTGAACAAGTGGGTCGGCAGAGTAGCAGTGCTTGTGCATGACGCCAGACGTCTCAAGACCTGTCAAAAAAATGAGCTGCGGTCGCCGGGTGCGATGACGAGCACGTACCTCATGCGACGATGGCCTGCGAGCACGCCCTGACCAAAACGAACGTCTCGCTCGGTGTCAGCCTTCGCTCCCCAATTGGCTTGTCGTCGAGCATGATCTAGCTATCGGGGTAGGCGAAGACGGATCCAAAGGGCGACGGCGGCGGCTCGTAACTGGTACCGAGGCCGAAGAAAAGCAGGCCGAGTCTACTTCGTCTCACCCTCGGGTTATGCCCTCGTCGTCATTGTTGGAACAAGAAAGGCTTCATTATTATGAGGATTGGACGTGAATGGTGGAGCCAGTGCATTTGGGCGCGCGTCTGCCATGAGTAGGACGAAATTCTGAGCATGTTTAGTAGGCGGAATGGAAATCAATCGGTACACACCTTAAGGCTTCCACGACCCGAACAACCCAGCAGCTGCATTTGCGCATTCCCGGTCCAACACGACTACGCAGGCGATGTTCGGGGTTTCAGTCGAGGGTGCGCACTCAGCGATTGAGAATGAGATGGTGGCGTGAACAGAGATCGAGCAATAACTCACCGAGCTCAGGCTACCAGCGCCGTGGACTCGGGAATAAAGAGGACAGAAAAAAGGCCGGATTAGTACTTAACACACGCACGGTCGAACGTCAGATTATTGCAGAGCGAGCGCGCTCCATTGTGGTGGTCAGAAGGCAACTGAACTTGTGAGAAAACGACCCCTCGGATGATCGGACCGGACTGTTTTTGACGACTTGGACGACCTCCAGCGCGACAACGAAGACAGTTCATACCTTAATATATCGCGGGATGCATTCCCAACACATTTTAGAGTGTTTTATTTTTTGGCCATTTTTTTGGCCAACATGAAGTCTATACTTCCATTGAAGTTACAATGACCTAGCACCAACACTATTCGAGACACTACACGGTCAGTCAGTCTACGCCTTCCTTGTGTGAGATGTCCAATAGGTTTATATAGTCCTTGTCGCACTATTTCTGGGCCGCCTTATACCAGCGTTCGACGTCAACGACGCGTTCGAACGATGGTCGGATGACGGGACCGGCGATCCGAGCAGTGATCAACCGCTGTTTGGAGTCGTCGTCTCTCATCTCCCACCACCATGATCACCCGTCTTGCCACCGCATCTTGCTCCCTTTTTCCTCTTTCCTGTTGTG